CAGACACAATAATTTTAATTTATACTTTCACGAATTTTCAGCACGGGTCACTTTAGATTTTAGGAATTTTAAAGCACTTAACACTATATATTTTTGGTCACTCTCTTCTTTGCACTTTTATTTATTTTCCAGTTGGTCCTGCATAGCTGTTGGGGCACTAGAAGTACCTAGAAATAACTGTGGAAAAAATATTCTTATGTAGACCAAAATAGTTTTCTAGAATATTTCCTATAGGTGAATAACAACAGTGCTGTCAATGTATTCTAATTTATTGCAATATTCAAGGTTTTAAAAAACAAGGCATGAATGGTGCTGTTAATTGAACTTTAAAAAATAAGTATGTTTACTTAATAAACATGTCATAAGATCTCCATTTTTGTGTTACAAATAAAAACATGTAAAAGATGCTGCATAAATTTTAATTTTGTATTTGTGTAAACAATCTTCAGCGATAGAAAAAGGAAAAGGTCCTTTAGATCTCACAACAATATATCTGTGTGAGATCTAAAAGGACTTTTTTTTCTACCTTTTATTTAACCAATTCACACTTCACGTTTGAAATAATGTTTGGTTGTTTCAAATACGAAAAACTTTTAAAGTGAAACAAATATACCTAAAATAGAAAAATAACACCTTTCTTATAGTCGTCAAATTTTTCTGAATTTTTAGAATATTGTAGAACTAACATTATGACACAAAGTGTTGATTGCGTCAAATCAATGCTATAGCTAATTTAAGAGGTACAGAGTGTAAAACATCAGAAATGCCACTTTTATGTAATCAGATTTCTCATGTCAGACCTGATCTATTACATTGATTCAGCTTGGACAATTAAAATTCTTCCATATAATCTAAAGCTTCATCTGCTTAAAAGTAAAAAAGCTTTATTAAAACTTTCCATTCCCTCCAAACTAAACAAAATCTTTATGGTGATTCTACATTCTTCTTTGACCCGTTAGTGTTATAAAACCCATATAACGAAAATGATAAAAACTTAAGTAATTGTTAAACAAACAAGCAAAAGTAATATGGGATCCTTTGCACAAAAAGCAAAAACAAGAAAGGGTTTTTAAACACCACATATGTAACGGTTGATGACCTTTATATTCTCAGACAAAATAATAAATAAATGGAGGCAGCAATCGAAAAAACAAAGTAATATTAAACTATACAAAGTAAACCCAAACTTAACTTTAATAAACTACGAAGAGGTACTACGCAGACATCAAATTATTCTCACTAGAACACCAATCGGGCATAACATATTAACCCATGAATTTATGCTAAAAAAAGAAAGATCATAAAAGAAGAGCCCTATTGTACAGACTAACCTTAGCCTGAGTACTAGGCCACAGAAGACATAAAGGCAATTAAGAGGATGCTTTACTAGCCCGAGAAGAAGCCTCAATAGCTTTTATTGGTCCAGAACCTTTTTGTGGTATCACAAAGACAGCAATCAGATGTGGAAATCTCAATAATGGTTGACAAATTCACAAGGGCAGAGAGTTCGTAAAACTACCATCGCTAAAACTCACCGAGCCTCTCTAAGCCAGAAAAGAAAACATATTACTCTACAGTACCAGCAGGCCTATTAAAAGGGCATTGTAGGATTAATAAACATATGTATAACATCGGTCTAGCATAAAAGATCTTGTGCCGATTCTGTCAAAATAAGAAGAAAACTGCAATACAAATATTGTGCTTCTGCGAAGGTATTCCTTACACATAGAGAAAAATAAATCAAGGGCAACTAGCTACACTGGAGACTTATTTCCCAGTATACGGAGTCTAAGATGTTTGCGAAGAAGGCTATAAACTAATTATTGTCAGGATAACGCGCTTTAGCTGGAAAAAGATGAAAAATTGAATACTGACAAAAAACTATTTCCTGAGTGCAAGGACTTATTTCCAATTCATAGACCAATTGCTAGTCACTCTAATGTTCATGAACTTAAGGAAGCAGGAAAGAAATTAAAAACAAGGAAGTCCTAGTTTAGATGGTATTTTTTCGAAGTCAATGAAAATATTAATTAAAGAGTTGACGCTGAAAAAGCTAAATATATTCAATGGTATGTTGAATCTGCATGACTTTCCTACTGCATAGAAGAGAGCAAAGATTATTTTAATTTAAAAAGGGGTCGATTTAACTAATAGATATAGCGGGGAAGGTATTTGAATACCTAATAATAATAAGACGAGGTAGAGCTAGAGGAGAAGGGTGATATCTCAAAAGTAAAATTTGGATTTAGGAGCGATAGAAAAACAGTTGATGCCTGTAAAAATCGTAATGAATCTGGTAAAGATTAGTATACCTAGAGTAGGTACAATTATTCTTATAGTTTTAGAATTTAATGCTGCTGGTTAGAGTTTAATATTGAATAAGTTAAATTAAATCAAAATAGATCAATATGAGAGATAAAGCATTGAAAGTGGGTTTCTGGGATAGAAATAACCAAGCACAAGTTTCGGTCTTTAATCCGCCCCTATGGAGCTTACAGACAAAATCTAGGATGACCTTGCTCTGACGGTAAAGGCTAATACAAAAGAATATCTAATAAACGATGCTAATGGACGTAAACCAATTGATGAAAACATATAAATTATAAATATAAATAGTCCCAGAAAGTGTAGAGATATAGAGAAGGGGTCCAATTCAAGTTAGGGATAACTGTCATAACTGAAGTTAGGGCAGTTAAATATTTGAGGAAGTGGATTAATGACACAAGTATTACCAACATCCATGTAAAGAAGAAAAAGCAGAGAAGCAGAGCTCTATCTAAAATCTAGATTATATGGAAGAACCAAGCAGCACCAAGAGAAAATTAATGTATGGGGTGATACGGCAGATCAAATAATTTGGAAGTTAAAATCCGAATGATCTAGAATATTATATAACTGGTAGGAGAGATGGAGTAGCAACACTGCCAAAGCGGCTGGGGCGAAAATGTTAATTCCAAATATCACTTATTAAATAGCTGAGCCAATTTTGCATGGGACATGGCTCTTTTAGGGCTTATAACACATCGGACAGTACTTCTTGTCTGTACCGTAATGAGAAGGGTACGGTAGAAAACACAGTTTTCCAATGCAACAGATGGACTAGATAAAGAATACAAAAGAGTTAAAAAATAACTTTGGATAAAAATATGACCAAACGTAGCTGATAAAAAAGAAATGGGCTGAAGAAACAATAGAAATAATAGAGATTATGAAGAACAAAGAGAACGAGGATAGAGACAACCAAAGAAGATAACGATAAGACCAGCAGAAACAAATGTCGCAAGAGTTGTACCGGCTGTTGTGACAAGAGGTGATTTTATCAGATAGGCTATCGTTATTTGGTAGAATTCTGCGCGTCTAGGTTCACTTCCCAGATAGTCTTGGGATGATTTTTCTCTGTTAAACAAAACACAAAAAATATCTGAAAAGGTCGAGTACCTAGAACACAGTCCTAACCAGTAAAGCCCCATTAGTAGCCCCAGTTTTGCATGCCGAAAGAGTAAACTTTGAACTTAATGAAAGATTTAAAGTGATCGCCAATATAAATAACCACGAAAAATTAACTAAATATTTAAAGTGAACAGAAGTCTTGAACAACATCTAGCGTTTAGAAAAATTTTCTGTTTAACTAACTACGCCATTGTTACGTTTGTATTTATTCTGTACCTTATTTTAAATATAGTATAACCTCAATAATCCCGATTAATTGTGACCAGGCCCTTTCCGGATTATCAAAATGTCCGAATTTTTAAGAAGAATAAAAAAAAGTTATTTGAGTTCATTACAAATAGAAAATCTGCTATAACCGTTAATAATTCACTTTTGACGATCCATAGTTGGGCAGTTAAATAAAACCAATAATTAATATGAACTTATGATGAATTTTAATGTACTTACATATGTAATATACAATATGTATTTACAGAATACTGTAGTTTTTACATTGTCAGAGCTGTTAAAAAAATATATGTTGTTGATTTTTGAACAACAGTATTGTTTCGTTTTTTTGTGGACAGTTCTTTGATTTGATTTAATAGAATTCGGATTATCGACGGACCTTTATAAGTATATATGTATCGCCAGTTATTCTCTAGTTAAACAATTATTAATAAAACATCATTGACAATTGCAAGCTCTGTTTATCAATTTTTTAACAGAGAACAGGTTCTTATGGAAAATCTTGAAACAAAAGGTATTTCCGATGTTTATTGAAAACTAGCTATAGCATTTGTTTTGGTCAATCTACAGTTTTTGTCACAGCACCGAGTTATACAATATACCAACATAAATTTACCAAGAATGTTGCCTGGTCCTTTCCATTTTCGTTGAAATTTTATATTTGTTAATGTTGGTGCACGCATCTGGCAAAAGTAAATCTATGAATTTTTTTCCTGATTTATGTGTCTTTCATACCAATTGAACTTTTTTTCAATTTCAGTAAAAGTTATGGAAAATCATTTTTAAGTTTAACACCCTGTAACACAAAAATTGAAAAACTTATGGCATGTTTATTAAGTAACTCCAATTTATTTTTAAGACTTCTATAAACCGAATAATTTATGCAGTTTCCTTTTATTTACCTTATGTACGTTACGTCCCCAGATGTTTTGTGCCAAAAGATGATGTTATTCACCTATATTACTGAAAGAAAAGTGATCTTTTATTTTTTTTTTATTTATAACTATCACATATTTCACAGTAAAGTAATAATTTTTATTAATATTTAATAGGTAGACATAAATATTAGTTCCTAATGTTTTAAAGTAAAACTACATTGTAAAAAAACTTTTTAATGATAATTTCAGACAAAGTTGTTATGTCACAGCATTGTAATATTTATATCCAATATTTCCATTGGCGTACCTAGTATTATCAATTGGGAGGGAGGACTCGGGAAGGGGGGTTAACGTGACCGAAATCTCAACCAAAATAATAAAACAATAATTTCTAATTTCCAATCACATTTTTATTTTAAGTTTAAGTAAACTTAGTAATTAACAATGAAAATCAGGTACCAAACCCAAAATATTTCATCATCCAATCTTATAAAATAAGTAGTAATATAAATAGTAGTCAGTATCTACAATTAAATACTTTATTTATTTGTTTACAGTATGCAACAGATACACAAAGTTCTAAATGGTACATTTAAAATATCAATTAAAATAAAATAAAAAAAGAAATTAATGAAATTGTCATAGTGTAAAAATGAAGTCAATAGTGTAATATTTTGAAAAATACTTATTGTAATTGGACATCAGTTGGTGTACAAATAAATTCTATTCATAGTTAGTTCTATGAGTATTTACATAAAATAATTTAATCTGCCTAGTAAGTCTGGCAGGAACATGGAATCTAATAAAATGTACCAGGCTATCACTATCAATCAAACCGTTCAATAACTTATACAGGAAAATAAGCGATGCTTTTCGACGTCTGCATTCCAAACTCTTAAGTCCACACAACAGAATTCTGGTTTGGTAATTTATATTTTGCGATGGAAGCCTATGTTTATATAGTAGATACTTCAAAAATTTATTTTGCACTCTTTCTAATTTATCAATATGACTATTGTAATTAGGTACCCAAATCACTGAGCAGTATTCTAAAATGCTCCTAACTAAGCAGTTCTACGAGACTCTTCAGAGCTGTCGTGTCATAAATGTGCTTGGTGTCCCTTTTGACAATGCCCAGCAGTCAAAAACCTCTATTTACAATTTCTTCCAAATGAGGAATAAACGATAGGCCCGTGTCAAAAATAACACCAAGATCATTTATAGTTTGCTCAACACTTAATTCAGAACCTGCAATGACATAATCATGCACAATATATTAGCTGTTTTATTGAACCTTACGACTTTACATTTATCAATAATTAGGTGTACTAAATTGCTGAAATCTGATTGTAAGTGATTTTTTGAAAGGTCATTGACGATTTAAAAAAAATTTAGGTCATCTGCATATAGGAGGCAACTGGAGTTACCAAAACAAGTTGTTATATCGTTAATAAAAAGTATGAACAATATAAGGTCCTATATTCAAGCCCTGTGGCACACCTGAATGTACTAAAATTTCGCTAAATGTGAAACCACATAAATTCACTTCAGTTAAATAGGAACGAATAAACTTAAGGTAGTTGCCGATAATACCTATCCTTTTCAGTTTATCTAACAGCAAGAAATGACAAACGCTATCGAAAGCTTCAGACAGATCAGTGTAGATAGAGACCACTTGTTTGCCATTCTCTATTGCAGATAAAAGAAACTGCTGAGTATCAGCAAGATTAGTAGTTGCTGATCGCCCTTCAAAAAACCATGCTGTTGTGGTGCAATGTAACGCCGAAAAGACATAAAGATCTCATTTGTTATTATAGCCTCCATGACTTAACGAATGCTGGATATAATCGAGATTCCTCGATAGTTTAAAACATAATATTTGGTGCCGGATTTAAAGTTAGAATATTTCCAACGTTGGGGAAAGAAACCATCATCAAAACATTTTTGGAATAATTGACATAGAGAAGTAGAAACTGAGGATTGACAATTTTTTAAGAAAATGGGAAGAATTCCATCTGGACCAGAGCCTTTAGAGACTTTCAACTGAAGCAAGTGAGTGTTGATTTCTTCTTCAGTGAAAACGCGAGAGGAAAGATTACTACAGAAATCAGTAATAAGGTTAGAAGAGATAACAATATTGTTTTTAATGTAACAGAACTAAAAATAAGAGGCAAATGTATCATCTATTTCTTCAGGGTCACAAATTAATTAAATCAGTGCGGTACTTTACTTTGCGCCGTGCATTAGAATATAACTGGTAGTCACTACTCAGACCAGAGTGCTTATATTTTTTATATAGTCTATTTTTGGAGGCAATACATTTTCGAAGTTCACTTTTAAACCATTTCGGATATTTAATGTTTTTATAGTCTTTTTGGGATAAATTGATTGATGCCTTGAACAAAAATGTCATAAAATTTTTCAACTCTATTTTCGATGATTGGTGCTTTATTGACTGACGTCCAGTCCACCTGGTTGTAAAAGTTATGGAGTTTTTTAAAATTAGCGTCTTTAAATATATACACAAAACTTTTGCGAGAATTGGATTTTAATGAAACATATTTTGAAAGATCGATGGACAACTCGACAGGAGAAATTTATCAACTAAACTCTCATACACTCTCATACACAATATCAAGTGTACAAAAAATATATTCCCAAATCACAACTAAAAAATATTTATAGGTGCATAAATAAAGTTTTTTTCTTTTTTTGTTTACCAAACGTAGAATGATTCTAACTAATAATTTTGTAATTATTTCTATTTTGGGTACAAAAGAATTTAATTTTTGTATCCTTATTGCCGTGGATATTTTTTGTTTTTTTTTTTTATTCGGGGGTCTTTTGACAGGATCTCTCTAATGTCGTAATTGTAATGTTTATCGTTATATTCTTATATATTTTTTAATTTTGTACATTAAATCGCATCTCTCTGGGGAGGGGCACCGTGCATTCTAGGGGTGACCGTCCCCACTCCAGTTCCTGTCTTGCTACGTCAAAGCACCTTTCTGCTTAATTAATCTCATTGATTACACGAATACTACGTGAGCTAAGCAACCTCATAAATTTTCTTAATTATTCCACTTGTCTAAGCTATGTACATATACACAGGTAGATACAGTGGACTTGGTGGCTTTCATAACAAAGCCTGGCTTGAGCGAGGACTGGCAACTGCCAGTATAACACACAGAATTGGGTAAATCATATAATAGAATTATGTATACTAATTATAAAGGGTCGACGCACTTCGGGACCCTCACTTTGTCAATATTGTCCTGGCAATCAATTTACATTTAGGTGCCGACTAAACTAGTTAATTTGTTGTAGGCTAGAAAAAATATAAATCGCTTTTAATGTAGGTATCTGGTAACTAAATAACTTCGTGCGATTTTTGTTAATAAAATATAAAATATTACAAACTAGTGACCGAGCATAACAAGGACTGAAAATGAGAGGCAAAAGGCTCAACTATTTCTTCAAGGTCATAAATTAATTTGCCATTAGATGTTAGCATAACAAGCTTTGTTGGCACCTTTGATTATTTAGAGTGAGAATTTGAAAATACACATGGTGCAGATCGGATTGAATATAATTTTCTTTGAACATATTTAGTTAAATCCGATTAGGTACCTTCAATTATGTTTACATGATTTGGCAACGTTTGATTTGACCAGCTTAAAATCAAAGAATCAAAAGAAAAATACAGTGTGATAATTTAAAAATACTACCAAGTAATTGAAAAGCTGACGCTGACGCGATATTTTTGCTTACGACCCAGAAACACCGGGTTTAAGCTCACTCAAGATAATCACAGTGATATTTTTCAAATAAAGTTTAGGGATTAAATAAAATTTCAATAATAATTTTAAATATTTTCGTCATAATTATTTAACAAATAAAAGTATTCTATTATATTAACGATTACATTTTTTTAAATGTATTATTTTGTGACTAAAAATGAGAATAAACGAAAAATTAAAAAGTGTAATTTAATTTTTCTGGGAATGTCATTCAAAAAATTTCTAATGGAAAATAAAATTGTTGAATTTAAATAAAATAGTTGTACTAAAATAATTGTTGTGTTGTTAAATTATAGAAGTGAAATAAAGAGATTAAATTATAAAGTTAAACAGAATTTTATTTAACTAAAAGCTGAGGGTGGCAGGAAGGAGAGTTAAGAGAAGAAACTGATAAGCAGAGTAAACACATTGAAAGACAGGGAGAGTAGCGGATAGCAGATAGAAGTGAAGCAGATTAGAGGAGATAAGGAGTAAACGGATATAAGGAGTAAGCAGAGATAAGGAGTAAGCAGAGATAAGGAGTAAGCAGAGATAAGGAGTAAGCTGTGAAGTAAGAAAAGCAGAGAAGAGAATAAAGAAATTGAAAATTTGTTTATTCCCTTTTAGAAATAGGTATAAAGTATTTGTAAATTTTTAGAGTCCCTTTTAAGATTCTTGGAAAAATCTGGAAAATTTGGAAAATTTCCATATCAAGTGTCGCCAGCCAACGTGGGGCAATGAGTTTTAAAGTAAGATCGACAATAAAATTAAAATAAAACTAAAACAAAAACAAACAGAAGGATGAAATTTAAACAGATACAGGGGGATGTGAGGAAAATTAGAGTAATAAATAATAAAAAGTATTAGTATAGTAAAAACAGAACAAATGTCAAATGTATTATAGGAAAATTAAATTAGATAGGGGAGAATGGGGGAAAATAGTTAAAAATCGAAGAAATAAAATTTAGATGGAGTGCGAATATTTAGAATTTTGAAGCTAACGAAAATTAAAAAAAAATGATTAAAATAGATTTAAAATGGAATTAGATAGATCGCTATCGAGTGTAAAAGTTAATATGTACTATATAAAAGAGTTGAAAATAGGATATAATTTATAATAAGGACAATAGAGAAAAATATGTATATTAGAAAACAGTATTTATGTTAGTGATACTCCCCTTGTACCTCAACATTATTAACTACATGTCACTGTCAATTGTCAATACTTCTGTCAAGTCAGGACGGACGAACGGAGGGCAGAGGAGAGCAGCGGAGGAAAGCAGCAGTCGCAGTCTTAGCTCGACCGCGTAGCGCGTAGCCATGCAATAAAATATAGAATAGTGTAATACTAATAAATAAACAGTTTAATGACTTTTATTGGGGTTAATTATCCGCCAGTGGCGGCTCGTGGGGGTGTTCACAGTGACATAATATAGGTATCAGTACAGATGTATGAAAAAACTTTCAGTGTTTTAGAAAGTTTATAATATACCTTTTTAAAACACTGACAGTTTTTTACCTATATCTGTACCGGGATCTATATTCTGTTACTGTGAAACCCCAAAATTTTAGCCACGAGCCGCCCCTGATTATCCCTTACCTTAACATTTATAGTTTGATGATTTAAAAGAAAGATATTGTGCACAGGAAACGTAACTTATATAAGACATTTTTGT